GGCAGGGAGCCGGGCGCCCCCGGGCCGGTGGGACGCCTGCGCCGGCTCCGGCTGGGCCTTTCCTCCCAGCTGTGCGGAGCTCGTGCTCTAGCCCGGCATCGAAATTAAAATTTTCAGTCGAGTTCAAAAAGCAAAATGTCAGTGCTAAGAGCCTTTCTGTGCTTTGCACGCAATGCGTAGCGCTGCTAATCACTGCTGAACGTTTGCGGTCCTTTTGTGCTCAAAGCCGTCATTAAAGCTTTATGAGAAATTAGTCTTAACTTGGGGCTTGTCCGGGTTTTCCCTTTGGGTTTAGTTTTGTGGGCAGTGGGAGACATCCCACCAAAAGAAGCCACTGCCGCTTTGGGCAACATTTCACTAGTACACTCAGGACTGTTTTGTTTTGGTTTTTTTCCCCCTTTTGATCATAGAAGCTGTTGAATTTTTTTAGCATTAATGCTGGCTTGCATACAAGCAGAAAAGTGCAAAGTGCAGCGTCCGGGCTGAGCTCGCTCTTCGGTTCCCTGCTCGCGAGTCGCTCCCCTGCCAGACGGGGGCTGCCCGCGGCGGAGCCTGCCCTCCTCCTCGGGCAGCTGATTTGCATCACCCTGCATGAGCAGAGAGTAAGGCCGGTTTCAATGTGAGCATGATGAAGGCGAATTTAATATTGAAAGTCTAGTGAGAGAAAATAACTAACAGACGTGAAATGTAGTTGCATTGATTGTAATCGTTTGGTCTGAACCCGGTATTGGTGCGTATCTATTTTCACGATGTTGGCCGGGATGTCAAAACCCCGCGTTGGGCTGAGATGACTTGTGCCAAGGGCACAATATTTTCCGTGAGTAAACTGCTTGGCTTCTATAGCAATGCTGCAGATGGATGTTTTTTTCTATACAGAGGATGTTTATCCATCATATTTTATCATTTGAGATGAGCTTTCGTACAAGTAGGGAGGAAATTGGAAGGAAAACTGTCATTCCCTTAAAAAGAGTATGTGCACCTGGTGGCAGCAGCGTGGGGTTTATCACAACACTTGTAATGCATTGTCGGTAGCTTCTTTGTAGGTTGAAGCTGATAGATAGCAGGGCCTGAATCCGCGTGCCCTGTCTGGGAGAAGCGGCGAGCAGCTATCTTGCTCCGGGAGCAAGCTGCCGGGGGTTTTGGCACTCAGAGGCAGGGCTGCATCCTGTTTCATTCTATTTCGGGCCGTTGCCTACTCAGCCAGCAGCTTCCTGAGTGCTCAGCCTTCTGCAGTTTCCATCATGCCTTTAGAGTAAATTTGATAGGCACAGGAAGCTGCGCTGGGTCTAATATCGACCCAGCGGTCAATGCGCAGGAACTCAGCCTCGAGGAACGATGGATCGCACCTTCCCACGGGAACTGCACCACGTGTCTTTAATATTAATGCATCACTCGATTCTTTTTTTTTTTTTTTTTAACTCTCTGGCGGTGTGTTGCAGACAAAGGGGCATTTGATGGATCTTCAGCAAGATCTGCCCGGGCTTCCGGAGGCCGCAGCCCGCTGCGCTGCCGGGGCTCGGGGCCCGGGGCCG